ACACTAATTTCGAGAAGCAACTGCTGCTAAGTTACAATATGAAGTAAAAAGCGTACGTCTTAATTTTATGCAATAAAACTTGGTGAGGGGTGTTTTCTAGCTTTTATTAATTTTTTGTGTTATAGAAAAGTAACTGAAAAGTAACGTCGTTACTTTTTAAAAGTAACTGTAACTGTAACGAGTTACTCTTTTGTTGCGGTAACTGAACGGTAACTTCGCTACTTTTTTTATAAAAGTAACTGTAACTGTAACGAATTACTTTTTAAAAGTAACTTACCCAAGACTGGATATGAATCCCTTCGTGTCATCTCGTGAAGTTGGCGGTAGTCAACGCAGAGGCGAGCGGTACCGTCTTTTTTTGGCGCTAAGACTACCGGAAAAGCCCAGGGGCTCTGTGACGGCCTCACGGCCCCTGTGTCTATCATCTCATCGAGAGCCTTATCTACGAGAGCTCGCTTGTGCGCACTCAGCGGTCTGGGATTACAACCCCATGGTCTAGCATCTCCTGTGTCGATTTTGTGTTGTAAAATGTTTGTAAGTCCCGGCCTCTCGGTAAGCATAGCTGCGTGTCGATGCAAGGCGTCTGCTAACATACGCCGTTGTTCTGCCGGCCCGTTGTAAGAAGCGACAATCACTTCAACGTTTACCGATACGACTCGCGCAGCTAATGTTTGCTCCTCTCGTAATCCGACGAGTGAGCTTTCTGTGTCCTGACCGAAACTCGGTGGGACGGCAAAGGGGATAAGGGGAGTCAACGGATTATAGTGGTACCCGTTATTCTTCAAGTCTATGATAATCCCCTCCCGGCAGACGAAGTCCTGTCCTAATATCACAGGGATTTGCATGCCTGGCAGATAGAGAAAACGCTGCCTCCTTCGACTGCCGTCGAGGCTAAGGTGAAGGCGTATAGCGCTTTGTGCCCTAGCCGATCCTGCTGCTAAACGCAGCTCGGTGGAAACTTCCCGCACGTGAAGTGATCGTCTGCGACAGTCTTCGTAGACCCTGTCGCCGATTAGGGAAAGAGCCGAACCGGTGTCAATTAGTGCGTAGTAAATGTTACCACCGATCTCGACGCGCACGTACGGCCCCTTCTCAGATGTCAAACCCTGAGTTCGACATGCCGACGGGGCAAACACCGACCTGTCGCTGACCGCAACTCCAGCCCCGTTGGCAGACTGACGAGGGGCCTCGGCAGCGGAAGTCCAATTAGTGGCGCCGGCCTCTCCCGTTTCCCTGAGACCCATGGGGGGGAGCTGCCGTCCATGTGCACTGACGCTTGATATGCCCAAGCTGATTGCATTTATAGCACCTGACCTGTCTCCTGCCATTGTGTGCTGAGCGTGCGCCGCTACCATCACGCGAAGCAATGTCGCGCTGGGGGTCATTGTAGTTCCCGCGACCCTCGTAATGATTCGCGACTCCGCGGTGGTCGGCTGCGCCGCCTCCCCTACGGGGATGCGCCCTGGAAGAGCCCGCGTTAGCTGCTCTGCGCCTCTGTTCAAAAGCGAAGGAATCTAAGGCGCGGGGCACAGCAGTTACGCCACTCCTATGTTCTGTAACGGCCACGTACGGCGTACGTGAGTCGTCGCAAGCTCCCGCGCCTCGTCCTGTCCAGGCGCAACCCGGCTCCAGAGATTCCTCTGCGCGTGGAGGGGGGCGACACGTCAACTCGGCGAGCAAGCTCGCCTGAGCGATGCGCGCCTCTCTGGCAAGTGCTTCCAGATCAGCGAAATCACGTCCGCGCAAGTAGGCTTTAAATCTAGGGTGACACTGGCGGATCGCCCTAGCTACCTTCTCCGCGTCTGACGCTGTAGGGTCGGCTCTGGAGTAGAGCTCCTGGAGAGCGCAGTTGTATTCTACGAGGCTCTCGTCCGGATGCTGAGTACGGCTGGCTAGCTCATCTCTGATCCGCATCTCATAGTCGGGAGGCAGAAATTCCTCTCTGAATCGTGTCCGCAAATCTGCCATCGAAAGGAACGGCCTCTGCATTCGCCTCCAACGCGCTGCCTCATCCGTCAACGCGATTGGGACGATCTGTATCAGGGCTGTTTCATCCGACGCGCCCCACGCGGCAATGTACGCGTCTAGGTCCTGCAAGAAATCGTGAACCGATGCTGCGTCGGAGTAGCCCGAATAAGTCGGCGTCGGCACGCTTAACCGCGGGCAAGGCACGGGCGTAGGCGCGGGATTCACCACCTCTGGGGCCAAACCCATCTGTTTAGAAAACGTCGCGAACATCGCCGTCATGGCGTGCATTAGTTCGCTAACGTCTCCCGTGTTCACCACCGGAATTGGGGGTTCTGGCGCTGCCGCAACGCTCGCTTGCCTACTCGTGCCTTCTCCCACGTCCGAGTCAATATCCGCCACTGACTGGGTTGAGGCCTCGGGATGGGCGGCCTTATTCCGTAACCTGGACATGGCGGCAGAACGTTAAACACTGATGTCCAGCGGAGTAACAAAAAAAAATTCAAATGGGAAAACAAAACAAACCTAAATTTAGAAATCGCGATTCGTGGGTCTCCCTTGGAGCGAAAAGAAACAACGGCAGACTGATCGGGCCCCACGTTGGAAGCGCCAGTTATGTGGGTCGCCTGTCGATTCCCGATCAGGCCGAGTTCTACTCGCTCAGAGAAAGTCGCACAAGGAGTGCTATAATAGACAAACACTTTATCGATACTTAAGTTGTGCTGCGGGGGCCAAGGCTGCCTTGTGGTCCGGGTCTTCCCTGGGCTCGTTCAACACCGCCTCTTTCGTTCGTCACGGCTCCTCGAACCCTGTCTACGCGCACCTACCACGAGCGTCCCTCTTTCTTCTTCCTCGCCGCTCACGGGGCCGTCCATCCACGTTCAGCGTGGCTCGTTGTCTCCCACAATGTGAAGCAATTCAACGATATCTATAACACAAGACTGTTGAAGAAAGATGTCTTGGGAATGTTGTTATTTTATATTTCAATGTCTCAGGCAACTATAATGTTGACCACGCGATGTGTTGTGAGGAAAACCTTCAGTGTTCTGCAAACATAGCCTGATAAGTAGAATTTCAATAGTGTAGTTAGTAGAACTCACTTCAAGGGTGTGCAATAGGACGAACCATCAAGGAAAGCCTAAAGTTATAATTGTTGATATAAGTATTTGTAGCTTTCACGAACAATAAGATGTAAAAAACGATTACTCCTAATTATTTATATGTGCATAGACAGATACACTGTAACAAGTTTGAGAGCTGGGCTAGTTGGTAGGGGTTAAACATAAGGAAATAAAACAGCGAAGACGATAATAATCCCCGGAGAAGGGAAACCAGGGGGACAAAAGTCAATCACAAATTTCCAAACACTGCTAGGTGACTGGTGCGCGACCGAAAAACTCCGCCTGGTCCGGGTATCGAACCAGGAACCTCTCCATTTCCCTTCACCTAGCTGTGTTTGGAGATCGGTATTTGTCCATTGTCCCCTTTGTTCCCCTTCTGTGGGGATTATGATCGTATTTCTGGTCCAGCTTGCCTGCACTTTTGCGTTAATTTCTCTATAATCGTAGCCTTAAAGTGCAGGCCACTCTTGTTGGTGTTAGACTGGTGGCAGCTGATGAAACCCGTTTGCTCTACTGACGTCTAACTCCGGGCTAGCTTAGTTGGTAGAGCGCTCCACTGGAAAGGGAGAGGTTCCTTGTTCAATACTAGGACCAGGCGGATTATTTCGCTCGCGCACCAGTCACATAGCTGTGTTTGGAGATTTTGTGTTTGTCCTTTGTCACCCTTGCTCCCCTCCTTTAGGGATTTTTTTGGTCTCTCTTGTCCAGCTTGCCTGCACCGCTGCACTAATTGCTGTATCATCATAAAAAAGGGCGCAAACAAACCCAAAATAAAACAGCCTTCTGTCGTGTCCGTATATAGATGGCTGAGCGTGTTCATTTTAATTTGCGATAACGAAAGAGGGATATTGAAGACAGTTTGTCGCTTGCTTATACACACTTTTGCGCTGCTTTATTTGATTATGTTTAGACAGATACGTAGCTTTTATAGTTCCACAAAGTTGCTTGCTTGAAATAGTAACATGAGTCAATTTGTAATTCGCATAGAAAGTCGTTCAGTGGGAAACACCAATACAAAAAAACAAAAACAAAAACAAACAAAAAAAACACGGCATGGTGCTTTGCATAGAGAGAAAACTTATTTATGTTTGAAGGCATAAGGGAGACCAGCATCAAGTACTTTATTATGATTAGTTCAAGCAACCTTTTGACATCGCCTATGGAGCATATTTAGAAACTCGTGTTCCAAGAGCTTCAACGATCAAGACAACATGGTTCAGTAGGTTAAAATGCGGTTTAAAAATATGAAAGCTAAAAAGTAGGCGAGTAGCTTGTACCTGTGGAGGGACACATGGAATAAAAATGGCTAAGGCTGCACCGCTACGAACAGCACAGTGTCAAACTCAAATCCGTTTCGGGCTGCAACAGATGTCCAACGATAGTACACAGCCGTCCTGCCGGCTTGCTGAGAGTACCAAGCGAGGTCGAAGCCAAAACCCCAATCTCGCAACCTGACCTCTCGGCGCATTCCATTCGACGTTTCCCGAGGATTTTCGCAGCTGCCGTGGTGAGCTCTTCACTGTTTCGAACCTCGTTGGCCTCTTGCCATATTCTTGATTTTCGTGGTCATCTTACCTGCCTACGTGTTCCCGATGACTTTTTGGCGACGTTCAGCTGTCATCGCGTGCTTGATCGTTCTCGTTCCTCGGCGGCTCGTAGTGCTCGTGACTCGTTCGCTGGCTGGCTGTTGACATGGCGTTTCACGAAAGAGAATTTCCTGTCGCTAGTTTTGATCACAAAAACCTGGAGCACAAAGTGGTGCTTGAAGACGCTGAAGTCTAGCGCCCTTGCATCAGGATAGATAAGTCGACGTTCGAGGACTTGCTTGACAAGGTAAGGAAGCTCATCATGAAGAGACATGGCGTTCCGGCAGATCATTCCGGCAGGCAAGACTCGTAATCCCGCTCCGTGATAGTCGGGGTGTCATATATCTCGCAAAAAACGCCTGTCCTTGATCGTTTGGATAAGAACATCCTCGAGATCGGCCTGAAGCTTCGCGGCGCTCATTATAATACCTCGAACGGCCCGAAGGACATAAACAAGGAACGATACGGAAAGTCGGGTTCTGAAAAACTTCAGTGTCAATGTTGTTGCCCGTTTTGGGAGATTCACCAACAACAAACAAAAACTAAGCGGGAGCTCTAATTAAAATAAAAAGCGGCCCTGCTTTCACCGTGCTTGTCGGCGCGTTTTCTGCCCAAAAGAGCTCAACACGAAAACCGCGTCGTCCAACTCTGTTTGTCTGTGTATTTCTAAGTGCTTTGTTTCAATCACCATTACAACTAGGAAACAAGTTCTCTTGTTCGTGTATTTTGCGTCACGTCCGCCAGGTGGGTCGGTGGATTCCGCCAAACAGGCCGTCTGTCAGTGTCGTTTGTAGCTCGTTGTTGTTTCTCGCCGTCTCTTGTTGCTGTTTGTCGCTCTAGTGGGACGAGGCTATAAAGGGCTATCCAAGCAGGACGCGGCAAATGGCGTGAAGCGACACAACATAGCATATATCGTACTCAAATCCACCTTCGTCCGTTTTTATTTATTTTTTGCTAGTTTTGCTTGCGTCCTTGGGCAGAGGCTTAGAGCGTGCTCAACACGTTGGTGCGAAAACCACTCACACGACCTGCTGGCTGTCGTCAATGCCACCGCTGTTATCGGTCCTCAATGTACCAAAACAAGAAATGGGAAGCGACGACAGCGAGCTTCGAGGAAGTAAACCGTTTTCGTGGTTGATGTGCAAACTGAAAACGGATGGAGCGACTTTCACTGGGTATGCCGGTGCTGTGTGAGCGCACCGTCTGCCGCGTCCCATTTTAGGCGGCGTCCGGTAGGAGGGAAACGTCGTTGGGCTCCAGCTTGGGGCAGGGCGTGTCGCAGGGCAGGCTGTCGCACGTCATCTGCGACAGGTGGAGACCTGCCACCGACGGCGGGGAGTTGCAGCGGCCGTCCAGCTGCCGGTACTCGGGGACGGCGCGCTGGCAGTCTTGGGAGAAGCAGCGCCTCGGGAACAGCATCACAATCCACTGGAGCGAGCAGTCGCACACCAGGGGGTTACCTGGAGCCGGGGAAATGGAATTGCAGACATGCTGAACATTTGACAACTACAGCTTTCGGTAATGACTGCTCGCAAATCGTCACATATCCTACGAGAATCGCAGAAGCGAGTAGCGATGTGCTCGACCTGAGATTTGGATCTGAAGAGCTTTTAGGGCTACACGTTTACTTGCCACGTTAAGGAGGAAATTTAAGATCACTATATTATTATGTGTGAATCTGTAGGAGAACCTACTACAAACGGAAAACGGACCGGCTAGTTAAAGTCCCCAATTACACTCGTGCGCTTGACGAAAGCGTTTTAGACCACCTCGTATATAAGGTCGACGTTGTCTGCCAGTTAAGTGTACCTAATGTAAAAGCTACTTTGGTGTGGTTTTCTTTTAGAAATGCACTTCAAATTTGAATAAGTCATTTCGGGCCAATTCGTGGCAAACGCATACAAAATTATAACCCTTTAATCACTACAGAGGTTTTACATCTGTGGCTTTATATTAATAGGATTAGAATTCACAAACGAAGATCGGACAAGTCGAATATATTTCAACTTCGAAGACAGCTAAAGTCAATGATTCAGTAGTAAAAACAATAATTCCAGACTGTGATCTTAATTAAATTGTTGGTAGCGTTGACGTATGGGCTAGTTGCTAGTTCGTTTTAACGGGTAATAAACTGCGCAGGAACACGGAGAGAGAAGAAGACTGAAGACAAATATGGCGCTGTCATATGTGGTGTCTGATTCTCACAAATGTTGGCGATATTTAATACAAACGAAGCAATCAGTCATTCGATGAAACAAAATAGAGTAGACGTTGATGATTCTCCTGAGATTGCTAGATTATTCAACCATTACGTTTCTGCAGTATGCGCAGTTCATAACCATATTCTAGCAGTTGACACCACGCAACTTAGTATTCCGAATGTAAACAAGGAAGGTATCTGCCGGATTACTAGGATGATCAGATGTCCCATTTTGGCCAGGACAGTCCCGTTTTATAGCTGCATTTTTACCGTCCCGTCATTTTTTCAAATAAAGCCTCACGACCCATTTTCGTTTGAACGTGCGCGCAGAGTTACGAACTAAGTTCTAAAGGAGTGGAAGAAACATACAAAACATACATAATAAGTTTTAAAACTTATAAACACTCTATGAAAAAATTCACTCCCGTAGAGTAAATTTAGAGCTCTTTCTATGGTTTCATCTGTCAATATACGTCCTGATCGCGCAGATTTTGTTCGGGACATTTTTCTATATTACTATATCTAGAATGATTCTGTTTTGTTTTAAAATAAAAAAAAAGATATGTACTTGTGTACTCACCTAAACGAAGAACTTGGGCAAAATGTGGATTTGTACAGTGAACTGAATTGTAGCACAGCTTGCCTTTTCTTTTGGCCCCCCCTCACCACACCAAAAAGGTGATTTTAGGTTCATCGCAAAGAGTCCAACGTTCATTTTTGAGTACAAATGTAATGAGATACCAAGCCTGGCAAAGTATCGCGATGCAATCGATAAATTGTAAATATATTTCACTACTGAGATACAAATATATTTTTCAAATGCATTTCGATAGAGAGATACAGGTACTCGGAGGTACCTCTACGAAACCATCGCGATACAGTTGCGTCGCGATGCTGCCCAACCCTGCACGACAGCGATGCCAACTTTGGCTTCCTTCTGCATATTGACGGACTGTGCTATGGTACTGACAAGGATAATGTAAAAGCAACATGCTTCAGTTTCGAATAACACCAATGCAGTAACGTCGATGCTCATGGGCTGTGCGAAGATATTTTAGACTCAAGATTGTTGCTCTACCCGGAAGTATCAAGAGTCCACTTAATTGATCGGTATGGAAACGAGAGCGTCTTCACCAATCTTCGCATTGCCGTCCGGATACTGCTAACTATATCAGTTTACATCGCTGGATGTGAGAGGCCCTTCAGCTAGTTTAAATTATCACTTGAGTATTGGCGAGCTTCTATGGGCCAGGCTAGATTTTGTGATCTTGCTCTGCTTATCGAAAAAAAGCTGAACAAATAGACTTTGATGACGTTGTAGACCAATATGCAGCAGCGAAAGCAAAATAAAAGTTTCATTGAGGTTTTTATGCAATGATAGGAAGTAATAATTTCTCCTCTATACTTATTTCGTGAATAATCGAAGGTGTCAAACAAGATGTCAGAATTCCAAACACCACGCTTCTGCTGATAACACCTTCATAACGTTATCTAAGCGTCTTCGTGATTTAACAAACTGTTAACATGACCACTTTGCCTTTCTCTTTTATGTGATTGCGAAAACGTTTCACAAATAACCTCAAAGAAGCCCGGCAGAACCTCGACGTTGCCAGGTTGCAGCCGTACGACCAATACAACCATGAACGCCAGAGCCTGCAGTTCGAGGTAGGAGAATTGCTTCTCTGGCGCAGTCACCACTGAGTAACGCGGCAAAAGGCTCACGGCCTCACTGGCCAACATGCAGTCTTGTACACGTTACTAAAAAAAAGTAATCGATTACAATTACTTTTACTCTTCGCTCAAAAGTATTCGATTAGATTACTTGATTACTCGACGTCAAAAGTAATTGGACATTACTTAAAGAAGTAATCGTTACTTTTCCAATTACTTTATTGTGTGAAAACACAACTTTAGCGCTCATAACAATGAACTACTTCCAACCTATATTTCACATTTGCACAAGTATTGAAGAAGAAAAACTGGCTCCCTCTTCGTGGTCGTTGCACCTTCACAATGCGGACTCAAGCATAGAATTCGTTTGAAGACGTTTAATGATTTGGGCGTTCGCCAGTGTGTGTGTGTGTGGGGGGCGGGGGGGGGGGGGGGGAGGGGCTATTAAGCTTGAGCAAGGGTTGTCGCTCAAAGTTTGCGTCGCTCATTTTATTATTCACATGTGGATGAGCTCGCATGTTATACACAAGAGCAGCAGCTCCAGGATTTGAAACGGATCATGTGTAGTATCAATTAGCGGAAGAGATCGCCCCGACCACTTCTCAACTCGAAACATTGATTGTTACAAAGACCACGTAGGGGAAATGGGGAAATATTTCAACTGCCTTTGTTATATTTTGCATCCGCTTTAGGCATTCTTCGGTTCTGGTTCTCTTACGGGCTGCGAGTAGGTACCCTAAGCAGGATTTTTTATTATTTTATTTATGTGTGTGTGCGTGAGGGGGCTAGTTTGAACGAAGGACTCACAAAGCTACATTCTGCTTCCTTAAACTTCGCCCTGAATGGCCTTTATCACGGACTGTAGCTTCCCTGGGGCTTCCCACTCCCAATCCCAGCTCGAAAAAAAAAAAAAACAAAAAAAACGGACATTTTACAGAAACTGTACCTAGAAAGAGATTGACCTCGTTTCCTACAGCTCCGCAAAAACCTTTCTTTTTTCCGTTCGAAAAAAAAAAAAGCAAATTTTATTTTTGTCATTTTATAAAAAAAAAAAAAAAAAAGGCGTGTGCCCGGGGGGGGGGTTCTCGTGGACAAATTGTAACGGTTACAAGTAATTTTATTACTTCAAAAAGTAATCAGATTACTCTCGTGATTACTGACTAATAAAAGTAATCAACTGATTACAAAATTACTCCAAAAAGTAATCGATTACAAGTAATTTGATTACTTGTAATGCGTACGGTACAAGTCTGCCAACATGTGGGATGGTCCATTCCGTAGAGGCAAAAAGCTTTCCCCGCTTACATACACGCGCTAATTCACCATTCCAGTGCTGAGTCCACAGGAGCAACTCATGTCTCCGACCTTAAAAAATTCCACATCCGGAAGATGGTTTATCGCAGGATCGAACCGATGCCGATGACGACCCTGTCCCGGACCCCCCCTCACCGCCACACATGCGGTACAACCTGCGACGTTGCTGACGGCTGAGAGAGAAGTTATACAGCGGTGGACAAGATTCCTTTAATTTTTTCTTTCTTTCGAGTTTCGAGCGTTGTACCTCGTAGAGTATACCACGGATCTGATCGCTTTTTTGAGGGAAAAAAATATTGCGCAATTGTGTGCCCCCCCCCCCCCCCCCCCCAGATCCTTTATTTTTTTCAAGCATTATAGGGCGAGTGGTTACACATGAAAATAATCGATAGCAATGTCTTGCTCGGAAACACGAAAATGGATCACGGTCAACGCCACCAGCAAACTCTGCCATCTTGACGCCAGGGGGCTCGGAGACGTGGCGGTCCCAGTCACCAAGGGCGGCAACCGACCAGGTTGCCGCCCTCGGTGAAGGAGGCCACCAGCATATCACGGATATCCATAAAATGCCGGGAATCCGTGATATGCCGGCGATCCATGCAATATCCGCGACCGCCCGGCATATTACGGAACCACTTCCAGTGGGAAAGACGTGCCAGAGCCAGAGGAAACGGCCTCTGCCGGCGATGCCGGGAACGGCCGCAAAAAACGGTCATGACCAGGACAGTCCTCGTTGGGGACGCCTTCCAAGGGTGGGCATCGGATTTAAGCTGGAGTGATCAGCCCAGGCGAGAGCGCGCCGGCCCTTCCGCTGCAGCACCTGGACCGTTCCGGGGACAAAAGTTGGAGGAACGCCACCCCACACAAAGCCGGCCGCGCACTACAGCTTGGAGGCGACGGGTTTCCTTTGCCCGCTCTGTGGGGTTCCTGAGATATGCCGGGTGGCCCACCTCCGAGGAACTCTGCACGGAGAGCGAGCAGACTCGGACCGCATCAACCGAATAAATTGTCTCGGGGACCGCGACCACGAGCGCGTTATAGTGCTCATGCAGCGCCGCCATCCACACCTCCTGTGACAACATCCTCCCAAAAACGGCAACGACGATTAGGTGATTGACATGCCGGACGTTTAAGGGGGGAGGGGGGGGGGGGTTGAAGTATGGGGACAAGGGTCCGCCATCGCGCCATAGGGGCCGCTACCGACCGCCCAAAGTCCGAACCGCGACAGTGCATGAAGAATAGGCGCGAGAGACTATAAAAAAGGGACATAACGAC